TATATATATATATATATATATAATATATATATATATATATATATATACATTAGAATATATAATATGTATTCTAATATATATAATTAATTTATATCGTTATGCGTATAGGAAGGAGATAATGTGGGATGGATCTTGCTTTGCATGAAAAGTTGAAAACCTACATACCCAGATAGCAATGTGTCTGCATTGTTGCTGGCATGTTGCCGACAACATAGTATATGTTACTATCAGAATTGTGGCAACTGAGTCCGCATTTGTCGGCAAGTTGATGCCTTCACGATATAACAATTTTGTATAACAACTTGCCAGCAACTTATTGGCAACTCATGCTGCGGTCTAAAATCGTTTGATTCAAAATTCGAGCTGTTGCTGTCATATTGCTGTAATAATTCATAGGATCAAATCACAATGCTGTCATATTGCTAGCAACGCGAAATAAATTTGATGCTGCTCTTTTGCTGATAAATTGCTGGCAATACATATATTCAATGTTGCCTGCGTGTTGCTTCAAATATTAAATTACTCGAAATCAATTGAAGCAAATATACGGCCAGTTGCCAGCATCATAAGCAATCACAGGTTTGCGCGATTTTGCTCAGACACGCTTGGCTATCTGGGTACATACTACGTTTACGCGAACTGTACAATGATAGAATTTTTCCACTCTTTTGATTGCCTCCTCGAACAGTGCAATTTTTTCTCTGATAAGTATTTTTTTGTATCATTAAAACCAATAGAAATATCTCAAGTAATCAAGATATACAAAACACTCTGTATATTTTTTATAATAATAGTAATGTATAATGAATGGTAATGTATAATATTTTATAGTATATAAATAGTATATAGTATATACTATTATAATAGTATATAGTATATAAATAAGTTGCTTCTTGATTGGTATCGATTGTTATTAACTTTTGATTGCTGGGATAATAATTAAGGGATAATAATTAAAGCATCAATTATAAGTCTAAAAATGCGATTTGTTATTTGAGAATTTACTTGCTATTATATATTGAATATAAAATTCATGAAAAATTTATTTCAAATAAAGTTGTTGTAAGGGATATTATACACTTATTATTATTTTTTTAATATGGCAATTTCCTACGATAACGTTATAATACATAAGACATAATTTGATCTACACGGAGAAAATTTTCTCTTAAAATTTACCCTGAAATCATGGTAGTTGTGGGACAACATGTACCACCAAGAATTTTATGCAAGCTATTCTGATTAATATCTACCATAATAAAAAATATTAATATCTATTACATTAAAATATAAAATATGTTTGATTAATTTTACTAAAATATATCTATTTCAATAATTTTTCAAAATTTACCAATCTGCTTGGTAATTTTTATGACGTTGTTTGTAAAATGTCTTGTATATTTAAAAAATTTTTTGGTTGCCAAGTTGTCCCAAGTTTGTAGTGAATTTAAGGGTAAAATATAACGAAAAATTCTTTCCGTGTACAGTCTATATTCTTTTCATAAGATAGTTTTGCGATTATGCTGTTTCTTAAAGCATCGAATATCTTTTAAATTTATAAAAATATATGTAGAAAATGAATTTGATTAGGGGAGAAAATAAAAAATACATAGTGCGAGTAGTACTCTTGTCGTTGTAAAAATTATTCTTCGTACTTTGGCGGAATGAAATCATAATTATCATAAATAAATATCAAATAGAAGGTACATGCCGAGTAAGTACTGCTATGTGGCCCATTCGGGGAATTCAGATAGATTAAACACATATGTACCCCAAGTAGAAAACGCCACCGCAGTGACGACGAGCGTGACGATACTGGGTCCGATACCGGCGATCATAAAATCTTTTGTCTTTATGTGCCCCGCAGCACTGGCAATTGCATTCGGTGGGGTACCGACTGGTAGATGAAACGAAAAGGAACAGCAGAGAGCCGCTGGCAGCATTAGATACAAGGGATGTATTTTAATAGCCACACACTGAAAGAAGAAAAAAAAATTCTGTTTTAATCCTCAAAAATTACAATTGAATAGCTTAAATCTAGTATTGTGAGCAGCAGTATGGAAAATATGAATAATCTTGTTATTTGGCAACTGAGGAATTTTTTACAAATTCTAATGTCAACAAAGAGTATTTTAAATTTAACCCTTGGAGAACACCTATTTTTTCATTCACGAAGAACACTGGAACAATCTGACCCTACACACTTTGATCGTCTACCATTTTAAATTGACGAGTGCGATCAGCTTGAAAAAATTTCCAGATGTACTTGGAACATTGTTAAATCAATTGATATAAATAAAAAGTGCCGTTGGAATTATTTACATATTTAAGAAAATTAAAAAAAAAATTATTTTTTTGAAAAAAAAAATAGTATATTGTACATACAACTAGTGGAAAAAGTGGTCGATTCTGAATGAGTGTGAAGTTGGTCGCACGAGCGAAGCGAGTTTAGGCTCGACCACTCTTCCCACGAGTTGTTCATATTATTTTTCCTAACAAGAGCGTGAAACAGGCCGCTTTTCGCGCTTGTTTTACAATTTCATTTTTCCACTAGTTGAGAAATGGCTCCATTTTTCAACTAGTGGAGAAATGGATCGTTTTGCTCACTCAAAACAAGCGCGAAAAGCGGCCTATTTTACGCTTGCGTTAGGAAAACGTAATTTACGAAAAAAATTTTATTTTTTTAAATATTTCTGGCTAAAAATTTACGTGTATATCGATATTTACGATAAAACTCGAGGTAAGGGTCAAATTGACCTTGTGTGTTCTCCGAGGGTTAAAAAATAACCTGGATAATGTTATCTACATAAATGTTACCGGCCGCTGCTTCAAGGGTGTATTCTACTTATTAAAATAAGGAAAAAAAAGTTTATATATAAATGTATATCTAAAAATGCATCATTTTCACGTTACAGTCATGTTTGAGTTGAAACTTAAGACAATTACAAGGCATATTATTTTATTTCTAACAATACAAAGTAGTAAAAAATAAAAGTGAAATAAAACAAATCTTAAAACAAATGTTTAAAGCCTCGGTTTAAAGTGACTGCGCCTAGCCGAAATTCACTGCTCCGACTGTTTTCTTAGCGACTAGACACTACAGACGCGCGCTTCGCGCGCGCTATTTAGCTTTAACATTATGCTATTATATAATAATCGCGACACGACGCGAGCTGTCACATCATGACACACACGACGCACTACACGCACGAAACTCGCCACACTCCGCGATGACAGTCCCTCACGGGATGAAGCAAGCTACGGCGCGGCAATCAATCGAGATAACCAATCGGCATCGCGGAAAAGAGGCTTCAATTTTTCGATACAAACGAAATTCATTCAGTTAACACGCCTTTTTTAAAAGTGGACTAGACACTACAGACGCGCGCTTTGCGCGCGTTATTTAGCTTTAACATTATGCTATTATATAATAATCGCGACACGACGCGAGCTGTCACATCACGACACACACGACGCACTACACGCACGAAACTCGCCACACTCCGCGATGACAGTCCCTCACGGGATGAAGCAAGCTACGGCGCGGCAATCAATCGAGATAACCAATCGGCATCGCGGAAAAGAGACTTCAATTTTTCGATACAAACGAAATTCATTCAGGTAACACGCCTTTTTTAAAAGTGGAATCTTCTCACCCTTTCGCAAACACGTGTTGCGTATTTCATTGAACCCGTTTTTCAACAATGCGCTAACGAAGATCATTAATGTTATCACAAACCGAGAGTAGTAGACAATTTGTATTAGATGTCTTCAAAAACATGAGGATATCAGGGAACTACTGAATCATCCTTCGTGTCTTTTTAAATATGACTGAAAACGATGCATTTTTGAACATACGTTTATATATGAACTTTTTTGCTTTAATTTGACGAGTAGAATACACCTTTGAGAAGTAGCGATCCACATTTATATGTTACACCCTGTATGTGATATTATGTCATTGTGTATAAGAAAATATTGACCAATAGTATACAGAGATGTGCTATATAGAGTATACTCATTTTAATACATCAAAAATATTTTAATTATCTCTTATTTTAGAAAAAAATGATTTAAAGAAAAGTTTTAAAAATTGAAAAATTAGGAAATATATATATATATATATGATGCACGTAAATTACACAATGCAAATTGCATACATTTTCTTAAATATAATTTTTTACACCAATTAATCTATACTTTATAACTCTATAAAGATATTAAAAATAAGTCATATCAACGACATTTTTTTGTATTTTATAACGAAATATGTTAGAAAATGAAATATCTCATAAATTATTTTTATAACTTTACCTTGATTTTATATATATAGTAATTAAGAAGAATTGAATTATGCAAAAGAAACAAATTTTATTTAAAAAATTGACACTGTCAATCTCATAAAAGATATATGTATATTATAAAAAATTTATCACATGCATTATATTAACTTTTCTAAAACTATAAAACTTTTGTTAAAAATATTTTTTCTAAAATAAGTAACAATTAATTGAAATGTTTGAGGTAAAATAAAAAAGTTCTACTTTGTATAAAAATTGCATTTTCTCAGTATTAAATTTTTTAATAAAAAACTATAAGATATTACATATATACAATAAAATAATCTTTATTAATTAATTATTGTTAATTGATCTCTATTATATAAAAATTCATTGTTAGCTACTTACCATCTCCGCTAATACTGGCAATATAATATTTGCAACAGCCACGTTGGCCGTTAACTCCGTCACGTTCTCCGCGAAGAAGCAGACGATCAGCAATATTGCCACCACATTAATCTTTTGCAGACCTATCAGGTACTGACCAAGCATTTCCGACAGACCCGATGAAGTGCTACCTGCTGAGATAGCAAATCCACCACCTAACACGAATATTAAACTCCAATGCATTTTCTCGTTTATCATCTTCCATGTTATTAAACCAAGCGATGATTTTGTGGGCCGTTTACGCGGATCCTTGTTAAACGCGTGCAAAAAATCCAATTTTGATGGAATAATAAAAAATAGTATTGTTACACATGCGGCTGCGGTCGAATCCTTAACAGACCTATAAATTTTAAAATTTTAATTATTTTATATTCTCTTTTATTTATGATTTTACAAATTTTATCCTTTCATTATCTTGATTACATTATGGGTAACGTTTAATTGTGAGTTTTATCAAATTAAAATCTTATTAGATTAAAAAAAATTATGAAATTAGGAGAATTATTAGATAAAAAAATTATTTTTTATTATTTTTTTCTTATTTTTTAATTACGTTCATAACGCGTAACAAAATTTGATTCTGAAATGACAAAAGTCAATATTTTCAATCAATACTCACAAGTCTGTGATATAAGCGGCCCAACCCGGCATAAAACCAGGGCTTCTGAAGAACCACAAGAGCACTACGAAAATAAATAGGATACCCACGGAGGACTCGTGCCATGAGATTGGTCCAAGTTCCTTGTACCTTTTCTCAATGACTGCCGCAGCAACACGTTCACCCTGCTGTCCAATATCTATGGCATGAGCATCTTTGCTTTTCGGTCTGAAAAGACCCATGTACATCACCTGCAGCCACAACCACGTGAGCAAACCCATCAATAGCATGGGTGGCACCGAGTACAACATCCAAGAAGCAAAATTTATGCCGGGACTATTGGGAAAACGCCTAGAAATGAATATAAATTTCACAATTGTTGCTATTATTTTCTTTAACATATAAATATTGAAAAAGCATAAATAAAACAGACTGGAATTGAAAATTTATAAAACTAATTTGGTATATGTCAAGCGCAAAGACCGAAAACGCTCGCTGAGCAAAAAGACCGATCACAACGTGTTCTGGCATATCCAAAAAGGTCACAATGTGAAATTCGTATCGTGGCACATCAAAAACGCTCACAATATATATATATATATATATATATACATATATATACAGGGTGACCGAAAAATCGCCTACTCCACTTCGGGAGGTGATTCGGGACCCAAAAACAAGCAAAAAAGTTCATACAAACATAGGTCCGGAAATGAGCCGTTTCCGAGTTATAGCCACTTTTATGTTCAAAAATCGTAATTTAGAATCCGCTGGACATACCTCTTTTTTATTTATTTCTTAAATTAAAAATTTTTATTTTTAAATATTTTTAATTTTTTTAATTTTAATTTTTTTATTTTTTTTTTAATTTTTTAAATATTTGTAAATACGATTATACTTTTAAAAGAAATCAGTTGTTTTCACAGCTACTTAAAATCAGTTGTTTTCACGGCTATTCAAAATCAGTTGTTTTCACGGCTACTTGAAATCAGTTGTTTTCACGCCTATTCAAAATCAGTAAGTAAATCACGGTTTTTCAATAAGTTTCAAATTATTATTTAACAATACCTTACTTTTAGGTTGTATCTAATCTTTCCATATTCATCAATGGATCGTTTAAGTTTTAATAAATTAGCTGATATTTAAAAATAAAAATTTTTAATTTAAGAAATAATTAAGAAAGAGGGATGTCAAGCGGATTCTAAATTACGATTTTTGAACATAAAAGTGGCTATAACTCGGAAACGGCTCATTTCCAAACCTATGTTTGTATGAACTTTTTTGCTTGTTTTTGGGTCCCGAATCACCTCCCGAAGTGGAGTAGGCGATTTTTCGGACACCCTGTATATTGCTTGTGTGTACTCTCATCATAGAACTACCGTATCTGCAGTTTTTTGGTAGTGGTTTTACGGCAAGTGATATCTTTATATCTCAAAAACTGTTGCAGATAATGCAGACACGGTTTTTTTTGTCTAATGAATTCCTTGAGGTGGAAAATGTCAGAATCAATTTATAACTCAAAATGTGAATTTTTGCAGATACGGCACTTTTCCTTATAGCAGGACAATTTGTGTACATACTTCTCTAAAAAGCCCTTCAACGTTAAATTTGTACCGCTTCCGACAATGGTACCGATACCACCGAGACTGGACGCATACGCTGCGACAAGATAATACACCATGGTACTGTGCGTTGGTCTCTTGTTTCTAAAAAAAGGGGGAAAAATTAGCAATGTTACAGTGGAATGTTGTATGTACGAAAACTTATTTGTGTGGAATTCAGATATTAATATTCAGAATTAAATATCTAGTTCTAGAAAATAAAAAATGAAAGAGGAAAAAAATACACAACGATAAATATTTACGTTTCCCCGCTTTCCTCTTCGGCCACTCTTTCTTTCTGTACGAACATGTTCCCGAGTCCTTGCTGAGACAAATTTGAAGAATTATTTTTTTCCATCTTATAATCACACAAGATTTCAGAAAAAACTCACCTCTTCGAGCTCTGCGAGAACAGTTTCCATTATTGGTATCATCATGGCTGTAGCGGCAGTGTTCGAAATCCACATTGAAATGAACATCGTCACGAAGAACAGTCCTAATGTTAGTCTGGGAATAAAAAAAATTGATGAAAGAAAATTTAAATGATAAAAAAGAATTTAAAATCAAAAAGATAAGAAATGTGTGAATATATAAAAATACACGACAAAAATTATTAAATAACTCCGTTATACTAACAGTATTCCCACTCAAGAAATACTTTATAAATATTATTTTTTGACAAAATAGATCAGAAGATGACACGGAATATGTCACGGAATAAAATACGAGACTATAAATTTTTTATAATCACCTTAATACTTATAATTATGAAATAATTGAGGAATTTGACATATGTATAAATAAATCAAATATTAATTTTTAAAAATATCGATGTACATTTTATTAAAAAACGCCATAAAATACCCATTGTATGCATCATATTTTTCTTCTAAAATTGTAAAACTATTTAGAATATATTTTAAGATGAGAAATAAAAGTGATATATTAAAGTGATGTATTTAGTACAACTGTTATAATATTATATCATATTATGAATTGTAATAACGTAAATAATAACGTAAATGATATTCTATTTGCTCTCTATTATGCAATATCTAAATACTCGATGACATAGAACGTATGAAACACCTTCGATGACTGCAACCAATAGTCTTGATAATGAATAGCGCCATTCGCATGTGCAAGCCGGAGTTTTCGATAACCACTGCGATTACCAAACTACCCAGAAACATCATTGTAGTATCGTTCATGTAGCATAGACAGGTCTCATTGGTGGACATAATACCCATCAGGGGATATAGGACCACTGGAATCATACCCGTGATCGGCAATGGCAAAACCTCAGTGACCCAGAACATCGCCATTAACGCGACGATGTATAAACATTTCATTGCGAGAGGCTGCATTGACAAGAAAAGAGAACGATTCTTTAACTTTTTGTATATGAATCTAAATCCACGTATACGTTACAGCTCCTTTTTTCTCACGACAGCTTTATTATAATATAACCTCCGGCGGAATAAAAAATAATGTTTCTCCTTATATTGTAAATAAATACATTAATATAAATTAATATATTTTATGACGTTTGATAGTATAAATCGGAAACATTATCGAAAATTTTTTGTCATTATTATATTGTTGAATTAAAAAAATGTACAACAACAAAGATAATCATTTTTCATAGATTTTCGGACGTAAAATATGATCTCGTTTACTAAATTATTTTGTCACAATTTTTCCACATCACAATTTTAAAAAATTTGCAATTAAAGTTGTAAAAATAGGACAAAGTATTTTGGCATATTGTAACTATGATATATGTGTTGGAGAAGTTTTATTGCAATCAAAATTAATATATATAAACAATAATAAGAAGTGAAATTAAACCGATATGAACCTTTATATAGATTATTATTTCTATTAGCTCTATTATCTCTATTAATTGCAATCAAATAGAGAAGATGTCATCCTTGATCGGGCTGGATCTTGGTAGCTTAATAATAATATTTCTGTGTGAATTTTGTATACTTTTCTTAACTTAGCAAACTACGCGCCGATTATTTGTGGGTCTTGAAACATAGTTTTTTGTTGAAACAGTAAATCCACATACTTAAATTGATAATCAATTTAACTTTTTATGCTAATAAGCATCTTTATTATATCACTGTAAATAATTTATTGCGAAAAATATTACTTTAGCCAGAAGTCGAAACTGGATCTTCCTACGATTGATCGTGACAGACATCTTTATGAATTTGACCACTGAGACATGTGATGATGTTTATCGCAATTTGTTTAATTTTAATTGCAATAAAATTTTTTGGATACAAATATGATATAATATACTAAAATACATAACATTAGTTCTTTTTTGTAACTGTAACTGTAACTGGAAATTTCTCAAAATTGCAATCTCATAGATAGAGCAATTTTAATTTGATATAGGTACACAATCGTATTCACCGTCGAAAACCCTATGGGAAGTGATTACCGTCAATTTTATGCCTGAATAAAAAATAATTTTTTTTTGTTGAATATTATTATTAATAAACGCGCATGAAATTTAATCTACATTTCAACGTGTATCTTACAATAGATCTTATAACATAAAATTTATATAGCTGTTTATTAATTTAAATACAAATTAAAAAGAGGATTTTTTATTTCACCTTTTTTTTACTATCGGATGTGCATGGTAACATGTGAAAAAATCAATTTAATATAGCTGCAATCAGAAAAAAAGTCTTACGCCGTATAAATTATTGTATTAATTAATGCAATTCTTTATTTTTTATATGTTTCTAATATTTTTCTTTGTTTCTAATATTTCTTTATTTCTAACTTTTCCATAAATGTAGGGGAGACCGGGGCAAAGTTGTCATTATTTCTTTGGTGCCGATTTTTAACAATAAAACAAATAATTTTAAAATGTGGTATACCGTTGTAAAGAGTGAACCCTTGGCTACAAAATTTATAAGGACATTTTTGGTCTACGTCGCTTTGTTCAACTGGTGTAGAGTGAAAACGACGAAGGTGCAAAAATTGAAATGTTAAATTTGCCGGGGCGAAGTCGTCACTTCATTCTCGGACTGAATTTTAAATGAATATTCATAATTCTGATCATGAAAAATGATAGGATACATTTTATTAATTATTTTTTAATAGAAAAATGGAAACATTAATTAAAAACATGATGGCGGAAAATAATTACAAGAAAAGCGCACACACTTATGTGCCTTACGCTCGCACGAAATGCACTATTTCTCGTCAGCTCTATTCTGTCATCTCTGAGCACACACAGCACATATTATCCAAGTCTTCGCCAAGAATTCGACCACTGCTGCTTCTTTGACTTTGATTTTCGCCCAAAGCCTCCATGATATGGCTTGGTGACGACTTCGCCCCGGACATAGAAGTTTGATCGCTCACGAAATATTAGAAATCAACGAAAATTAAAAAATGTGACTGGATTCGTGTTTAGCATGCATTACTCTTCACTTATCTCGAGATTCGGAGAGAAAATAATATTTAAAATATTTAAAATTTTCGACGCACAAAAAATTTTACTTTTGATCTCCGAAAACACGTTTGCCTTAATAAAAATCACAATATGACATATAATCTCACTAAACTCCGTTGGTCACATGGGTAAACACTACCATAAGTAGTGTTTACAATATTAATGGCAAGTTCACACAACATACCGATTTCGAGATAATTGTAGTGACGACTCCGCCCCGGTCTTCCCTAAATTTAATTTATTTAATTTTCAAGTATGATTATATTTAAGGAAAAATACATACTTTTTCACTTTCGACAGTTAATATCGGAATCAGGACTAACGGCCATAATACCACAACGAAAGATCGCCAGTAAATGGCTAGAAACTTTAGCAATAATCTACCAAACCCGTCATTTTTCCTAAAATTATAAAAAAATGTTGACAGAAAATGTTGCGTTACAAATTAGAGAGTTAATATCAATCAACGACTCACCCTGTGTTTCTCTCTCTCCCTCCGGATTCCGTAATTTCTGGATATGGATCCTCTGATCTCGAAGTCATTTCGAACTGTTACTGAAATTGAAATATTATAAAATATATTTCTTTATTATACTATAAATCCACAGGCCTGTTTTAATTTGAGCGGAGCCGAGTGCAAATTAAAGAGTGGGTAACTTTTATTATAAGTACCCATGGAATCTCATTGAAATCTATTTCATACATATTTATTTCTCAGTAAAAACAAAAAACATACATTATTTTATAAATAGAAATATTACATTATGTACACACACACACACACGCACGCACGCACGCACGCACGCACGCACGCACGCACGCACGCACGCACGCGCGTGTGCGCGTGTGCGCGTGTGCGCGTGTGCGCGTGTGTGCGTGTGTGCGTGTGTGCGTGTGTGTGTGTGTGTGTGTACTAATATAGTATATTATTATACTATATTATTATACTATACCCTTATTATATTATACTATATTATTATACTTTATACTTTAAACTTTAAACCTTAATATCGTCTAAATGGTTATATTTATAAAAAAAATATAAGAGACCTTTTTTGTAGATCGTTAAATTTTCTACAAAAATATGTAATAATTATTTCATAATTTTTGATAGTCGATATGATACAACATTCATAAGAAGCAAAAACAAGTTTTATAAAATTTATCAAACTTTAACTTTGAATATCTTTTGAACGGTTGAATTTATGAAAAAATGATAAGAAATCTTTTTTGTAGAGCGGTAAATTTACTACAGAAAGTCTATGTGGCGCAATGCTGTATTACTGTTTGTTAGATAGTTATAAAATTTTTTCTATCTTACTAAATGAAAAATAAAAAATCGCGAGTAGCGATTTGTTAATATTAATATTAAGGGCTAAAAATTTAACAGGTATCTTATTTTACCTTCCTGGAAGTATATATGCTATTCATGAAATGAAAAAAAAAGTTGCCCCAAAATGACACGCTCTAACATATACCTACATATATTTTTCCAACTTTATTTAACTGCGCGCCGATTATTTGTCGGACTTGAAAC